TGACCAATAAGACAACCCAAGACTAAATCAAACCCCAACACAGCTGCCAGGGGAACGAGGCTCTCCCTGGGTCCAGACCGCTGCTGCTCTGTCTCTGAAGAGGAGTAGGCTCTGCCTGGGAGCACAAGGCCATACCCTGCTTCCTGTTCAGCTGCCCTGGGAGCTGCCCAGAATGCAGGTCCTCAGGAGATGCAAAGCTTTTGATGTGGGTGAAGCCTTGAAGTACACTGAGTTCCACGTCAGAATGGGTCATTGGGGTGTGAGGTCATTACTTCAGCCATAAAAACCTCATCATTAGAAGAGATATCACAACAATAGACAAACATACAGAAATGAGTGATTCACAAAGAAAAGATCGTAGCGGTCAGTCCAAGGTCGATGTGTAAAACACAAGCTCCAGAGCCAGATCCAAATCTTGGCTCTCCCTCCTGCCCACTGTGTGCCCTTCAGCAAGTTGCTGAGCCTCTCTGTGCTTCACTGAGCACATGTCCAAAGCAAGAGTTATTACAAAACTTCCCTTGCAGGATTCTTTACAAAACTAAATCAGAAAATACTGATTAAAGTTCTCTGCAAGTGGTATTTAAGACAGACTTTCTGTTTAATTCTGTGGATGTATCTCTTCTATGACGTGGTGGAGATGAAGAGGTGAAGAGTGTAAGTGATGAGACAACAGTGTGAAAACAAAAAAGAGGACAACAGGGGTGGCCACATAATGGCGCTCAACACTGCACTACTGGAATATGTATGTGTGCCACATGTGTGCAGTGCCCATGGAGGCAAGAAGAGGGCATCGGATCCTATGGTGATATTTTAATTGTACTGAAATGTGATTTTATTTGTATGTTAATAAATAAAGTTGCCTGGGGATCAGAGCTAATAGCAAGCCATAGCAGAGTTGGGCTAACCCTAACCCTAACCCTGGAACTGAAATTACATCAGTTGTGGGCTGACAGGTGGGTGCTGGAAACTGAACCTGGATCCTCTGCAAGAGCAGCTGGTACTCTTAACCTTTAAGCCATCTCTCCAGTTGCTAGCTCTTTGTGTGTGTGTGTGTGTGTGTGTGTGTGTGTGTGTGTGTGTGTGTGTGCGCGCGCGCGCGCACGCGCGCGCGTGTTTTCCAGGGCTCCCCACAGGCACCAAAATTTGAAATTTCTCAAGCATGCTTCCTAAGATGGTGAAGAATTTGCACACGCCTCAGCCCCCAGACCTGACATCTTCCAGTGCATTCTCTAGGTTACCCACAATACCAAAAGCAATGTAAACTCTGTACAAAAAGTTGCTAAACTGTACTTTTGAGGGAATAGTGATACAGAAAACATCCACATGTGTTCAACACCAATGCAGCCATCATAGGGCTGCATAAACTGTATGCCCTCCTTGTCTGGTAGAATCTGTCATTGAGGAAGCCCAAAGGTATAATGGTGAAGGGTCTGAGAAAGGAGGATCTAGTCTGTCCCCCTCTTTAAAAAATATTTATTTAGGTATATGTATGTTTGCCTGTGAGCATTTATGTGGATCATAAAATGCCTTTCATGCCTGTGAAAGTCAGAAGAAGACATTAGATCTCCTCCAACTAAAGCTACAGACTGTTGTGAGCTACCATGTGGGTTTTGGGAACTGAACCTGGGTCCTCCCCAAGAACAGTGAGTGTTCTTAACCACTGAGCCATCTCTACAGCCACTAGTCTGCTCTTCTCAATCATTCTGTGTTTTTTCAAGGTTGGGGAAGTGCTGGGCACTGCAAAGGATGCTCATTTTAGTCCCATCCCCGCCCCTCTCTGTTTTGAGACAGGTCTGATTATGTGCTATGTAGTTCTGGGTAGCCACAAACTCACTAAGTAGGGCAAGCTGGCTTTGAACTCACAGATACTGGCTCACCTTTGCCTCCCAAATGCTGGGATTAAAGGTTTGTGCCACCACACCTGGCCCTTCATTCAGTTCCACACTTACATATTGAACACATATATGGAACTACGCCAACCCCCATGTGTGTATGTGTGTGTGTGTGTGTGTGTGTGTGTGTGTGTGTGTGTGTGTGTGTGTGTGTGATGTGTAGCATCACAATAAATAAAACACAATCACTGCCCTAAATTCATGGAGCATGCTGAGGGCTTTCCAAGGCTGTGAACTAGGGAAGATCTCCTTACTGATTCAGCAGATGCCAACTGTTGGCCTGGGGGGTTGACTCAGTCAGGAATCCTCAGAATCTGTGTAAAGGTGAACATGATAGCAGGGTCTGTAATCCAAGGGTTCATATGAGGGAAGTGGGGGGGCAGAAATGGAAGAACCCTCAGAAGTGTGCAGACCAGCTAGCCTTTGTGCATCTGCCATCCACAAGAGACACTGTCTCAAACAAGAAGGAGTGAGTGACACCTGAAGCTGTGGAACTCCACATGTAAAGACAATAATGTATTGTCAGTGAAAACCTTTGCCTGATCCCAAGCAGGATGCAGACTAGCAACAGTTTGACCCTCCAAATCTGTTTTCCAGGTTCTTCTCTAATTTCCCAGAATTCTCCAAGAGGAAGGGGGTCCCTGGTATCACCTCCCCCGTGTCATGGTTCTTCTAGAAGATGTTGCTGGTATTCAGTTTTCCTTTTCCTCAAAACTTACGTAGAAAAAAAAATTAAATAGCTCAGATTTTATATAAGAATGGACTTAATGATCCATAAAATTCACTATTTAAAGTAAGAAAGGTGGTTTTGAGAAATCTCTGATTTCTACTCACAAGGTAAAATATGTATTATGTTAGAATAATAACATGACAGTAGGCACAATGGGAGATAATTACCATCTCTCTTTCCAGCCTTGGATTTGCTTTCTCTCTTGCCCCTGTGGTCTGAAGCACTCCTCTAGTGCACACAAACCTCCCTCATGTGTGCACACTGCCAAGTGATACCCACAACCTGACCCAGAGTCCAGCCGTCATGAGGAGAGCTGCACCCAGAGCACACAAGTCAGAATGTGTTTAAAAACTAAAGCAAACCTCCCACGTGTGGGCTGAGACCTCACTCTTACCAGAGAGCTGCCTTAGGAGAATGTGGGCTGATGTGAGGGCCATCTTAAATGACAGCTCCCTAGCCTGGCCTTAGATGCAGTTGAAAAAGTGTCCTTCGCTGCTGTCTCAATGGTGATGGTCAAATCTCACTCATGCATTGATGTATTTTCCTGCAGAAACCAGGAAACCAAAAGAGAAAGTAATAGAACACTAAGAGGGAATTAGAAGGCTTTTCATAATCTTTTAAAACTCTGCCATCAATTACTGTTTCATTTATCTGTGGCTGTATCTGCTACTAGGGAAGCCCAAATGTAATAGCATAAAACTGCTATGACTTTTCTCAAGGAGGAAGGAGGAGGGAAGGGGGTGGGTGGGACGAGGAGCAGCTCCCACTCATTCTCATGCTGTTGCTGTCACGTGGAGACTGGGGCCTGTGTCTCCTAGCAGCTGATACCAGCTGTGTTCTAAGTGCTCGGCTGAACTGAGCCACGACACCTACACATGGGTCTCTGTGTGCCCTGGGCTTGCTTTCATCAGGACAGCTGGGTTCCAACAGCCCACATCATCCTGTGCCCCCTGTGAGGACCAGTCTCTATGGTCTTGTAGTGACTCTTCTGCCACCTTCTATTTACCGTGGAAGAGGAAGAGAAATGGACTGGACAGCACTCCTGTTTAGAGGAGTGTTACAGAGCTTGCCCCTGACTGCCGCGTTGTAGCTCATCACCTTAGTGTCTTTTCTGAGATTCCTCATATCCTGTCAATCACTCACCCCAGGGTTCACCCCTACACAGCACTAGTGCTCTTCATGTTTTATATAACTTAATTTGAAGCTGGAGCTCACAGCCCCTTTCTGGGTTCCTACCTCCTACATGGCTGCCTACCTCACCACTGCCCCTTTGGATTTGGAGCCCTAACGCCTTTCTGGAACCTCCTGTGCCTTCCCAGTTCTAACAGAACTGTGGCAGTTACTACGGGAGCTTTGCTCACATTCCTGGTAATGGGTTCCACTATAGATATGCTCCCCTGATCCAGAAAAATTTGATTCCTCCCGCACTCCTGCTTACATCCTTGCTGTGTTTGGAAGCTCTGTCTCCACACTCACACTCATTGACGAGTCTTTCTTCAGCTCAACTGTGCTCTAGTTAACTGTCAACCCACTTCAGTTTTCTTGTTTTAGAAAGAAAGACCCAAGCTCCAGTGTTATGGTATTCAATAAGGTCATCTGAGCATTGTGACAATGAGCATTCTCTCTTCTTTTTGTTTTACTTTAGGACAAGGTCTTACATAGGGTTTTGAACTCTCTGCATAGCTGAGGATGACCTTGACATTTAATCTTTATGCTACACACCACTATTCCCACTATGAGCAATGCTGGAGATAGACCCGGTCTGTGCATGTCAGGGAAACCCCCTGCTGCTGAACTATGTCACCCTCTTGAGTGGCACCAGTCTTGTGCTTCTTCCCTAAGTGAGGAATTGGGCCCCAGTGGCACCATAGAACACAGTGGTCTATCCTGGGAAATGGTGACCAAGGAGATTGTCTCTCTTTGAAGATGGTGATGACAAACAGGTCCAGGAGTTACACACCTATTTTCAGAATCCATAGTCATCCTAAGAGAATCGCAATGTCTGAAGACCCCAGAGGTCCCACATCAATACACACTGGAGCTTACGTAGCTGAGGGTTCTCATCCCAAATTCCACCAACAGCAGGAAGTGTCTTATGACTAAAGCTGTGGTGTAGGTCCGCATGCAGCAGAGACTTCCCAGGAAGACCAAGGAGGTACACATAGCCTCAGGCTGAAAACACTCACATGCAGCCACAGAATGGACTTGTCTGGTGTGAGTCTGTCCACTAATTAACTAGTAGGTGACATGTGTGCAGCTAGGAATTACTACAGAATTTCTCATGAATCTTTTTCAGTTGATCGGATCACCCAGTAGCATATGCATGGTATCATCTCTGTGTTCTGACCTCTGTGTTTGTCTCACACACTTGAATACAGCCTGCCAAGTGAAAGCCTGTGGGAGATGTCTTCAGACAGAAGTTTCACTTCACCTGGTCCAGCCAGCTCCTTCAAACCTGAATTCCCAGACAAGCACCCAACTGGGTGTGAAGAAGGATAGTTGTGTTGGTTGTGCACATGGGTTCCCTCCAGGGAGTCTGAAATGAGGAGTGGATGGCACTCTATGAGGGTCTTCCTGTACCCGTCAGATAAGCTAAGAGGATGCTGAATGGGAAAGGGACTCCAGGTGACATTCCCTAGAAGAATGACAAGCTCGAGAGCCTAAGGAGAATGTGCTCATGGATTCCGTTTGGAGAGGACTGGGGATTGGACTTCTTTTACTGCACGAGCACTCACCAATGGAGGTACCAGCAGGGCAGTGCCTTTGAAACCTCAGCAACACAGTCCTCCTTTATTCCTTCAGCAAATATCGGTCGAGTTCCTATTGTGCTCAGACACTATTCAGATGCCAGGGATACAGGGGCCAACAAAGCAAAGTCTTTCTCGTGGAGAGATTTTGTCCTAGAGAAATGAGACAAATGGTTTATGTGTGGGCTGACTAAGAAGTGCTGGGAAGAAAAATCAAGCAGGGGAAGAGGGAGAGGCAGAGCCTGGGAGTGGAAAGGGGGTTGTTCTGCATAGGATGATCAAGAAAGCCTCTGATAGAGCACCATTGGAGCAGAGGTGTGAGGCAGGGGCATGGAGGACAGTGCGAGGGTGTGGAGGCAGGGGTGTGGAGGAGGCAGGGGTGTGGAGGAGGCACATAGAGACAGGCAGGATACTTCTAGCAGAAGGCCAAGCATGAAGGGAGAACTCAAGGTAGAAGTCACTTCATCCTGTCCCACCACTGCCCTAGCCCAACTCTTTCTAGCAACTCAAAGCTTTAAAAATTTCTCTTTACTTCATACCAAGACGTAGGCTATTTCAAGACCTTAATCATGTTCCCGGTAACTGAAAATAGGTCTTCTTATCTTCTCAAGAAAACAATGTCCTTGTAACCAGCAATAGAGGTTTATGTATTCACAAATGAATGGCATTTAGAAAAAGAGAAAAAATTCGGGTGAGAAAAAGAAGATAGAAAATGTGGGGGAAAAGGAGACCAAGGAGGGTCAGCCACCAAACAGCACACCTCTCAGGGCACCTAGACTTGTGTCTCTGAGATTGTCACATATCACAATGTTGCAGTTTCAGTCTGTACTGTGAGGAAAGGTTCTGAATAAAAGTAACTGGCACAGGAAGGGTTTATGTGGCTTGTACTTCCAGGTCTTGGTCCATGACTGCAGTAGGTACTTAAGACAGGAGCCTGGAGGCAGGACCCATGGAAGAATGCTGCCTGTTGGCTTGCCCTCTGGCATTCACTGGCTCATGCTTACATTCATATTCATCCCAGGATCATCTGCCCAGGAAATGGCATTGCCCAGTGTGCACTGAGTCCTCCGACATCACTGAAGAGAGACAAGATTATCCCTCACAGACATGTCCATGAGTGATCTGATAAAGACAATCAGTGGATACCTTCTAGGTGATTCTAGACAATGGTGACAATTAAAGCTGTCCAGGATGCAGAGAAAAGTCTCTCCAGACAATGCACAGCTGTCACTGTGGTATCTCCAGTGACACCAAAAGGAAGGCTGACAGACTTTGACTAACCTGCACACACAGAAAACGGAGCACCAAGCCCAGGACCCAAGCAAACCATTTCAAAATGAATCCTTAGAATGAATAAAATATACCTCTGACATCTACTTATGTCATGACCTAAGGAGTAGATCAGTGTAAAGCATGTGCTTAGCATGCTTGAGTCTGGGTTCACCTCTGGCAACTCACAGGGAAAAGGCCTATTCATGTGAAGTAAGGCAAGCAACTTGCCTGACTGTGAAGACTTCCATGAATACATTTGATTAAAGAATGATTGCTGTGAAAATATTTTCTGTTTTAAAGATTTATTTATTTTATGTCTATGTATGTGTGGCTAAGTATAATACATATATGTTTATCATATGAATGCAGTGCTTGCAGGGGTCAGAAGAGGGCATCAGGTCCCCTGAAACTGGAATTACAGATGGTTGTAAGTTGCTGAGTGGGTGCTGAGAACTGAATTTTCTGGAAGAGCAGCCAGTGCTCTTAACTACTGAGCCATCTCTCCAGCCCTGAACACATTTTCTTTTAAACACATTTTAAAATTATATAATTGGAAAGCCTCACCCTCTTGGTCTAGTTTATTCATGTACTTATATATTTTATACATTATTTTCTCAAGTACAGCAGATTCCCAGTCCTCAGAAGACCCATCTTATAGCTAAATGATTTTTTTTCCCTAAAGCAGCATCTTTATTCAATACTGAAGACTTCCTAAGACACTTCTGTAAAGCTTTTTAAATTACCTGCACCAAAGAATGCTAGCTTTTCAAATATCATTAATCCTGTCATTAACCCTGGCTGTCATCATAGGATGCAGATGTTCCGGTCTCCCAGCCAAACCTGAGCCTCTGGAAGCTCTTAATAAGCAGGTGTTGATTGACACCTGCCACCCTTGCTCTGGCTCAGCCATCTGTGAAGAGCTATGATGCCGGCTTCTCTGGCTCAAGTGTAAGCTGGCTGAGGAGTTCTGTCCACCCAATGCATTGCCAGCAAGTTGTTACACAAAATGAAGTTAAGAACACTCTCAGAGAACAACTGCTTATGTTTTTTTTTTTTAACTTGCTATCAACACAGAAGGTTGTCATTCAGAAAATAACATTGAGTTCAATGTTTGGTAGATATATAAACAAGAGAAAACCATTTTTTTTTTTTTTTTTTTTTTTTTTTGGTTTTTCCAGACAGGGTTTCTCTGTGTAGCTTTGCGCCTTTCCTGGAACTCACTTGGTAGCCCAGGCTGGCCTCGAACTCACAGAGATCCTCCTGGCTCAGCCTCCCAAGTGCTGGGATTAAAGGCGTGCGCCACCACCGCCCGGCTGAAAACCATTTTTAAGATAGTTTCAGAAAATAGCTGACAGGACAAAGGAGTGTGTGTGTGTGTGTGTGTGTGTGTGTGTGTGTGTGTGTGTGTGTGTGTGTTTATCAGTTAGATGAATCAAAGTCTTGGTATGTAGACTAGGTTGGCCACTGACTTTCAATTCTCCTGCCTCTTACCCTGAGTGTTGGTTACAGTGTGTGCCACCATACCCAGGTACTGAATTGTAGCATTTATCTAATTATTATTTATCAATTATAAAAACTTGGGAGTCCATTATCTGGTAAGAACCTGAATGATCAGAGAAGTGGCAAAGAAGTGATCTGAGAATCTTTCTAAGCCCCACCCTACTACTTCCTGTGTCTCTTTATATAACTTCAGTCCTCCAAAACCTCTATGGCTAATTTTGGTCAGCTGTAGCTAGCTCCACCCTCTGATTCAAAGTAAACTTTATTGGCAGTCTCAGGAGTGTTAGAGTGTAATCAAAATGTCCCACAACACTGAGTTCTATTCCATCGCCTAGAAACAAGAAATTCTAGACGTCAAGAATAAAACCTAAGTATCTTCAACTGCATGGACCAATAGCAGCCTGGAAAATGGCCCCTGATAAAAGAAACCAAGAACCTCCCTCCATGGTTTCTTAAATTTTTAAGGTTTTTTTTTTCAGTGAGTGCAATATATCTTTAATGAAACCAGAACCATGCCATCATATTCAAGAAAACATACTCAAGGAAGATGAACCACAGCAGGCAGCAAATGAATTGAAGGCAGGAGAGGCATGGGAGGGATTGTTACAAGTTCACCATACTTGTTTCTTGGATGACTTCACGCACAGCCACAGTATCCCCAGATACAAACCATTATGGTTGGCTTGTACTGACCTTTAACCTACAGAGTGTGAACATGGGAACATACTACTTACTTACTGACCAAGCATTTTACAAGGTAGTCGTCTGTCTTACCCTGTTTTTGTTTGTAGGTAGCACAATGCCACAGACTAAGCAACAAAGAAAGTAGGTTTATATGGGCTCAGAGTCTGGTCCAAGGATAAGAAACTATATGAGGATGTCTTCTTCTTGCTGTCAGAGTTCAGAGGTAGCACAGGGTGTCTTGTGTTACTAGCTGGAAAGAAGAAAAGAGACCCAACCGATATGACTTTCCTGGTAGACCCAGTCTAGAGACAACTTATTTATCTATTACTCTCATGCACAGAGAAATCTGTTCAAGAGCACAGACCCCAAATCATGCCCTAAAGGTCTTCCCTGGACCCAGTGCTTTACACCTCATAGTGGAGATTAAATGTCAACAAGCATTTCAGAGGAGATAAAATTCAAATTTTATCCTGATGAACTCTTCTCTCCCATGGTTTGGGAAAACAGAATGAAACACAACTGATTTCCCTTACCTTTTTTTTTTTTTTTTTTGAGGCAGAGTCTTATGATGCAGCCCAGTCTGGTCTCAAACTCATGATTCTCCTGCCTCAGCTTCCTAAGTACTGAGATTATAGGAACACACCTCCATGCCTGGACTCTGTCAACTTTACACAAGATAATTGATGGGAGAAATTAATTTCCCCACTCGTCTTAGGATCAAATAGGAGGTCCTAATGCTCAAAAGAAACATCCTTCTGCCAGGCATTGTGATGTTGGTTCTGTTTAGTTGGGAGCTGAGACCTTGCACGGGCATTCTGGGCTCATCACACACTTGACCTGATAAGCAGAGAGATCTTTATACTGATGAAGTGAGAGGAAGACATCGGATGCTGTGACTGCATGGATGGTAAGGAACAATCAGCCTAGAGCCCAGGAGGTTGATTGGGGTACCTCTTAGCAGTTTCTGGCCTGAAGCTTCTAATCCACTGAACTGAGGTAAAAGAGTTAAAACAGATCAAGGAGAGTGTCAGATCCTGGATGGATGAAAATAGGAGTCATGCCACCGGGTAGAGATAAAATACAACTGCAGCTGAAATACAAAACTGGCAGGAAATGGGGTCCCCCGTTGGGTGTTCCTTACCTTCATGTTGTGTGGAATCAACATCTTTTTTGCCCTTGGACTTTCAACCATGATTGCCTGTGGCAAGAACTGTTCACGCTCACCACACAGTCATGAGTCCTCTACAGAGTTAACCAGTACCCAGCTGAAGTTAATTTTCTGAGCACGTTGCATAATCGAGTGGGCAGAGCTCTCAAGTTCTTCCTCTTTTGTGTGTGTGCAAGCATGAATTTGTGCAGTCTGTATAGGTATGTGTGTGTGCATGAGTGTCTATGTATATACCGCTCCCTCTGCCTCCCTCCTGTGCTCTCTCTCCCTCCCTCCCTCTCTCTCTCTCTCTCTCTCTCTCTCTCTCTCTCTCTC